GCTTCATCTCGCGTCATTAATGAACCCGGAGCGGGAAAAGTTCGATTCAGAGGGAATCAGAAACGCCGACATGAGAAAAGACGAACTCGGGACTGAGCGTTAGAGTGACGACCTCGAGCTAGATGATAAAGCCTCTAGCCCGAGCCCGGGGGCCTGTATGTTGACAACCGATTCGGTCCGGGCCGGATCGGATACTCAGCCCCTCCGGATCGAAACAAGAACCCGGTCTGATACGAAAGTGCCGAGCTGGACCACGGATTAGAGGGGCGGGAGACCGCCCTGGGAACAAATTTTCAGCCCGGTGCCAGGCTCAGACCGGGTAGCCGCCGACCTGGAAGGGTGCCGGACAGGAAAGGGACTATTCGTAGTCTCATGAGCATCTACGAACGAAGTGCCGACCTGAAAGTACGAGGAGGCCGGCCAGGGACGATGCGCGGGCCTCAATGAACATTAAAATATTCCCACTTGGGAGGTCATCATTGGACGATGGGACAGGTAATCATGGCCTAGCCCCCTACCAGCCAGCCTAAGTCAGCAAAGCCATCCAGCATTAAATGCCCCCCATGCTGGCATTTAATGCCCGTCAGGCAATGATTGAAGAAACCTCAAATCGCATTAAATAACCGTCAGACGGACGCCGAACAGCCCTGCCGAATTACTGTGCGACAAGACCAGTGAACAGTAGCTGAATAGTGCCACATTAAAGACCACTATAAATAGCAGCTCATCTCATTTATTTTAGGTTGTTGAATCCCAACTAACTCTACCTTCTCTCTATTTTCTCACTCTAAGAACTGTAAGAAACTCACTACAAGAATTGTAAGTATATCGCAACTGCCGACCTCGTACGAGAGGCCGACCTCGCGATCGCCTAATAAAATCATAATTAAACCGAGTCATTCTCCTTTTTTCTCAGTCTTGTTTTCAATATACTTTATCTTTAACCGTTGACCGAAAACGCTCGTCAACAATACTATAATTGAATAGATCATACTAGAAATGACTCGATTATACTAGAATTTACTCGATCATATTAGAATTTACTCGATTATACTAAGTTTGACTCGACTATACTTGAATTGACTCGATTGTACTAAATTTGACTCGACTATACTAGAATTTGACTCAATTATACTAAGTTTGACTCGATTATAGTCGAGTCAATTCAAGTTTGACTCGACGCTCCGTGTACCAGCGCCTTGGGGACAAAACCCAGGCCAATCGCGACCTCCGGGACGTGATTGAGCGGGGCAAGAACATCGGGCGTGACGCGGACGAAGTCGCGGCCCTTAAGCGCAGAATTGCCGAATTGGAAGTTCGGCGCTCTCCCCTAAGGGGCACATCGCCTCCTCACTACTCACAACCCGCGCCACGCGTCGTGGACCACGCCTCCCCTCTCTCTCCCGACATCTTGCGCGAGCCGGTACCCCAGAAGATCAAGGTGCCGCAGCTCGGACTTTACGATGGGAACTCGGATCCCGACTCCCACATCGGCCTTTACACCTCATGGATGGACCTGCACGGCGCGACGGACGCCCTACGCTGCCGTATGTTTTCCCTGACCCTGGGGCCAAAGGCGCAGAGATGGTACCATTCCTTGTATCCGCACTCGATCTGCACCTGGGGCCAGCTCAGGTCGGCGTTCCGATCGCACTTCATCGGATCACAGATTAGCCTGGCCCCCAAGGAATCAATCGCCAATATTGTCCAGGGCGAGGACGAGAGCTTGAAGGACTATATTACTCGGTTTAACGACCGAGTCTAGAACATGGAACAGTGCCACCCCGAGACCCTGCTCGTCTCCGTGCAGGCCGGGCTGAAGCCAAAAACCTTGTTCAAGTGGTCCCTGTGCCAAAACAAGCCAGCCACCTACCAGGAGTTCCTCGCCAAAGCTCAAAATTACATAATGGCTGAAGAATCCTCATCCATCCCGGAGCTGGACGCCACGTCGAGCAAGGACAAAAATAAAGACAAGTCGGGGAAACCCAGCAAGTCATTTGCCGAGATGCGGGCTATGAGGAAGCAAAGGGCGGAAGAACTCAGAGAAAACTACCAGGGCGTCTTTTCGGTTGGTGCCGCCGCG